GCTCTACAAAGGGCCACCCTCTTGTTTGAGTCCATGACCTGAGCAATGGTTTATTTTAGAAGCCTTCGTTTCTAATCCTGCACTTCCGTCGTGCCTGCTGCAGCTCATGGATTTCCCCTCTCACAAGGGCTCTTCTTTGATACAAAGAACCTCCTGGGCTTTGCCACTGAGCCAGCTAGTGGTTTACTCGCCAGCCTGGGATAGCGACAACAGGGGGTTGAGATAATGGAGGACAGGTTCCCTGGGATGCCCATCTCTTACCCTTAGAGTAACTGTCCCAGTCCAGCTGGAGGAGTCCAGCTCAAAGGAGGCTCTCCCAGATTCATCTGTCACAAATGTCTTGTTCTCTGTCCCTCCCCCATGGGTAACAAAGAGATGAAGCTTCTCATTCTTCACTGAAGAGCTGTCTGTCACCTTCAGGAGCATCTGAGCCAGAAGGGAAAGGGAGATGTATGACTCCAGGGTGCATTCATGGAGGAAGGGCAAGACTGGAGGAGTAGGAGTTGCTGCAGGGGGACAGGGCTAAGAGGCTATGATGCGAGGGCATAGAAGTATAATGGCAGGATATGTTGGTGTGAGCAGTGAGGGGTGATGATGACCCCATTACCTTGCCAACAAAGGGGATTCCAGGCTTGTACGAAGTGTCAGCATCCTCAAAGGTCACCGAGGCAATGTCAGGCACGATCTCACAGCTCTTGGTCACATTGCGCTCTACCCCTGGTGGTAAAGGAGGGGCTTTGAGTCAGAGCTGGGTGAAGGCTGTGTCCCAGATTTCTCTCCCAGAAGCTGGGTTCCTATCTCTAGCTCTGGATTGGAGGGCTCCATTTGGGAAAGAATTGCAGAGTTCTAAATGTGGGCAGAGAAGCATTATTCCTGGGAATTTGGAGACTAGAAACTGAAGCCCTTTCCCTGGGATATATTCTCAAGGGGCCACTTGACATATCCCAGCAGAGCAGCACCTTTCCTCACCCTAGGACTCTTCACTGAACAGCCCTAGCCCTCACTCTCCAGCTCTCTCAGTCCCAGATGCCCTGTTCCCTGAAAAAGGCAGTGTCAGATGTTCAAGTTCCCCACAGCTCTTCTGCACTGCTCTCTTCCACCATTTAGCCACTTGCTCCCTGATGTCCAGCACCTGATGGCTAACATTTTTGGCCCAACACTTGTCGGACCCCTTTGGAAGCCAGAGATCTCATGGATGAAATGTACATTTACTTTGGGGTCTTATGAAGCAGCAGCAGCTACAGTGTAGGATGCCACTACCATCTGCATGGAGGCAGTCTCTCAGGAGCAAGGACACAGGGATGGGTGCCTCACTTAAGGCTCTGAGAGCAAACCAAACCCAGAGATGCTGAACCTCTGATGAACATTATTGTAAATAGAAGCCGAGAGGTCCACTGTCAGTTTAATTTCAGTGTAATGATGGAGCTGCTTGGCGGTAGTAGTAAAAATCGTGGATCATAGCTCATGTCTGACGGGGCAAGCATCCCATCGTAGTTACCCCATTACTGGGTGGAACAAACCAGAGGATGGCATCTGGGCCTGACTGTCTCCTGGGCAGTCAAATCCCTTTCAGATCCTGGCTGGGAGCAGCAACTGCCTGAAGCGGGGAAGCTGCTGAGGAGCCTGACATCATTTGGGCATTTTTTTCAGCATGATGGGCCCTCGCAGAACCCTGTCTCTGAGCTAGAAGTTATGCTTTCATGAGTGCAAGAGAGACCGTTCTACCTAGCTACTACATGCTGTATGCTGGGTGTGCCTGTACATGAGGGCGTGAGCACATGTGAGTATAAGCGTGTGTATGCAGGCATGTGTTGAAGAATGCTCAAGAGCATGCACATACTTGGGTGTGTTTCAGTACGTGCACACTCATATCTCTATGTAGATGTTCCACAGAGTATGTATTTGATCATACCTGTCCCTTCCTCCGTTAGTGAGGCTGTGGCCTGGAGGTTCGTTCTGTATCCAGAGGAAGTCAGGTTAAAATGAGACATTGACACCTTCTTGTTAAAGCATCCATTCTTCTTGGTCTAGAGGGGAGAATTACCAATGCCTTAGCCAGGTCCCACTGGTCACAGCTTGACACATCAAATTGGACTCTGCCTGGCACTGCTTGGAGAGGCGACAAGAAACCCTGGCTGTTGAAAACAGGGGTAGGACATGCTCCCCTCTGGAGGTTATCCCTGCTGCCGACATCCCAGCATGGTGCTGGAGCTGCAGTC